GAAGAAAAAGAAGAAAAAGAAGAAGAAAAAAAAAAAAAGAGGAAGAAAAAGAAAAAGAAGTCGACGACGACGACGAAGAAGAAGAAGAAGAAGAAGAAGAAGAAGAAGAAGAAGAAGAAGAAGAAGAAGAAGAAGAAGAAGAAGAAGAAGTAGAAGAAGAAGAAGAAGAAGAAGAAGAAGAAACGGAGTAAAACCAATAAGTCCCCCACTTCGTTTAGGGTACTTAATTAAGACGTACATCCATACAAGTAATCAATCCAAAACGTCGGGCCACATAAACTCGGAAGATGTCACAATAATGAGATTGAAGTTAGCATAAAATAGAATAGTATGACGTCATATCTGATTTATAGTGCTTCTGTTTACAATAGAAAAACTTGTGTTGTCTCGGGAATTGTCTTCTCAGAAAATATCATTATGTCTGCAACGTCACTGCACGAATTACATAAATATGTTAATGACTTGTGATATCAATAACTGCACTATCTTGGAATCGTGTTATTGGTTTCCAATATCAATTACTACGCTCTTTCGGAATCGTGTTATTGTGATTTAATGTATTACTGTCACTGAGTTAAATTCAGCACCAGCTGTACACTTCATCCTGTTTGCTGTTATTGTACATAGACAAAACTGACAATTATTGTGTTTCGTTCTGAAGTTTACGAATATGGAGACGCAAGTGACAAGTGACGATGGTTTCCATCAATAATTGAATGATAGAGTTTCAGTTTTCTTTCTTAAAAGACTGACTACCTTTATGGTATACAATACATAAAAAGTGTAAGAACTAATATCGCACCACCGTTAGTACGAGTTTATGTGACGGACAAAACATCTACGTGTCCTCATAGCGTTCCTAAGTTTTAGCCAACATTCTTACATTGACCAACCTCTGTAAATCCTCAGAAAAGCCTCTTGACAAAGTAGTGTGACATTTCGTTTCACATTGTTTCTTATTATTTTCTACACTTGGGTAAAACCTAAATTCGTTTCTGAAAACAAAATCAAGAAAAAACACACATACAAACATAACGGAAAATCCATTTTCACTGTTTAAAAGCGTTTCAGTATATATATTGTGAGCGGGTGAAATACTGTGCTGGGTGCCTTCCGCAATTTTAGCGAGTTATCGCTCTAAAATTGGCATCAATTCTGCGCTATCGCAAGGGGGCAGATAAACTATCATCCCGCTTCCAGCAAACACACACATTGTACATACGTAGGCACGTCTGTAAACGACATTGACTGTTCACAGGAAGAAACACCTTATAAACAAAACGTAGCCAAACCCTCATATTTACATTTGCGTGGCATTGTCACTATATAGCCTCTTTGAAAGCTGTGTCGTTGATGGGACTTTAATCACCATGCATCACGAGACAAAATTCTTAGCGTATTAATACAACACTGACCGGAACTGCAATATCCAATAAAAATAAACATGACGGCTGCTGAAATATCGCTGGGCATTGTGAGATTTGACAATGTCATTGTAAATTTATGTGCAAAATGAAAAATAAAATAAAAAACACTTTGATTACAACGAAAACAAGACCAAGGTCTGCAATATCGTACAAAATGCACATCGGTTGAAATCACCAATGCCGGCAATGGAAACAATTTTAACGCTCATGCAATTTATCAGAAATATCGTCTATTACACTGCACTGATCAACAGGGGTTCGTTACAAATGTCTGAAATACACATATTCTATAGACCTACTGACACATATGTTACAGACCTACTGATATGAGTCACAGCACACATAAACATTTCAGACATTTGTAACGAACCTGTGCTCCGTCGCAAGATCACTCACTTCAAACGCTATCAGTTTCACGCGTCTCGCATCCACGGTTCCTCAGTTTCTGACGACATGTCAAATAACGAGGATGTTATAGAATCTACCGACTGTTGTCAGGTTCCCATACAATCAACAAATACATTCACGCCTGGATTCTTCACAAAATGAGCAAAGAGAAAAGTTCGAATTAACTTCCAAAAATAACTCCCTCGTGGAGGGCAAGGTCGGATTTACGGTGTTCACTGTATTTGTCCATGCGCGAAATTTGTTCCGGGGAAAAATCGAAACAATTTCAAATCTAACTTTCAGCTCAGAGTTCTATTGATAAACTTAAATCACCCTATAGACATATCATACGCAATTGTATTGATACTGAATTGTGGAATAAAATTGAAGTGTTTGTTAAAATTTCAAAGTACTACTTTGTTCGCCAATCAGCACGCGACAATACGCTGTTCAAACTATTGAACGAAATTGTGTGGACTGTCGATAAGGCGGGCATTTTTAATTTTAAATATAAATTATAAGTTAAAAAAGAACATAAGAGGCAGAGAAAACGTAAATAAAAGTATTAAACTGTTTTTGTATGGTATTTATGATCTATTTGAATGACACAGCTTTGCAAGCAAACAACTCATAATGCGCGCTAGCGCGCATTATGTTGCTTGCTTGCAAAGCTGTGTCATTCAAATAGATCATAAATACCATACAAAAGCAGTTCAATGCTTAAATGGGACATTTCCTATATGTCTTCACTGCAAATATCACAAACAAAATCAAACGCGAAAACTTACATAGTCGATAGATTAACCTGTTAACCAATGCGTTACATTGTCAGAGTTTTCTACTGGAGGCGACTGAAACTACACTGACATCGTGGTCGAGATCATGGTTTAATTAGGATTCTAGTCAATATCAATATCTGCCTTGATAAAAATCTTCTGCACTAAGTTTTGTTGAGACACAGATTTTTTATTTGTTGATCGTATTTTTGTTAAAACCGATTATTTTTCACCGAATTTTTGTTTAGACCGCGTTTTTTTAACCGTATTTTTGTTAAGACCGATTCTTTTTCCACCGTATTTTTGTGTAGATCGTTTTTCACCGTATTTTTGTTTAGACCGTTTTTTCCCCATCGTTTTTATGTTTCGACCATTTTTTCACCATATTTTTGTTTAGACCGGTTTTTTCCACCGTATTTTTGTTTAGACCGTTTTTTTCACCGTATTTTTGTTTAGACCGTTTTTTTCACCGTTTTTTTGTTTAGACCGATTTGTTTTCACCGTCGTTTTATTTAGACCGTTTTTTTTAAACGTATTTTTGTTTAGATCGTTTTTTTTACCGTATTTTTGTTTAGATCGTTTTTTTTTTTACCGTACTTTTGTTTAGACCGGGTTTTTTCAGCGTATTTTTGTTTGGACCGTTTTTTCACCGTATTTTTGTTTCGACCATTTTTTTCACCGTATTTTTGTTAGGACCGGTTTTTTCCACCGTATTTTTGTTTAGACCGTTTTTTTCACCGTATTTTTGTTTGGACCGGTTTTTTCACCGTATTTTTGTTTAGATCGGTTTTTTCACCGTATTTTTGTTTAGACCGATTTGTTTTCACCATAGTTTTGTTTAGATCGTTTTTTTTTTTACCGTATTTTTGTTTAGATCGGTGTTTTTTTTTACCGTACTTTTGTTTAGACACAATTTTGTTTTGTTGACTGTATTTTTGTTTAGACCGATTTTTTTTCACCGTATTTTTGCCTGGACTGGTATTTTGTTCATTGTAATTTTTAGTTGTAGTTAACATTTTACCAATCTTTACACAATTATGACTTTGTGTCTCAAAGTCACTTAACAAAAAGGTTTATATGAAAAACTTTTGGCTGATGTCAAGTCGCAAGCCAAAGTTTCGGCAACGTTCCTTAACACCTTTTTACGGGAAGGTGATGGTAAAAAAGAAACACAATACAAAAAGAAAAAAACCCATCTTTGTTAAAATAGAGATCATCCAGCAGTTCTTCACAATGCCCCAAATCCACGTCTGGTTTATGGAGAAACGTGTTTAGGATTTAATGTCTTCGCAACAGCCAGGGTCATAGGGGAATATGCAGTTTGTCTTTCGCTGTCGTTGTTATGGTGGCATCCTCGAAACTATGCACCCCTGGAAAATGTCATGGTAAAACCGAAGGTATGATGGAAGCTTTTTGATTGGTTTCGTTTTAAAAAAAACTTGACCTATCGCCAGGCTAATAAGAAACCTTTTTAGATTACATAGGAACGACATCCGACTTGAAAGCCTGTTAAAATTACCGTTTAGCTACTGCGCGATTCTTTTGATCTACGTCACAAGATTAAAAAAGTCCACTTGCATCATCCACAAGGTGGCGCGAACCGAGGTTTTGAGATTGTTACGACATACTTTAGGGGTGCAGAGAGCGTACGTAAGGATAACCCCTGGAATTACGAGAATGGTTTGGTGGTTAATAGCGTAGAAAGGGGTTCAGTTGGACAGATGGCCAATCTGATTCAGATCCTGAATTTGCAGTATTATCAGCAATATGAAAGTGACCCATAATGCCTGATTAATCTATAACAGGACTGTTACAAGGAACAAGAATGTCGAATGTCACGTTGTGGGACTGATATTGTTATCACGAGTGTTTGTTTGCGTTTCTGACGTTGCGATCACATTCAACCTCTATGTCAGGGTGTGCATTCGATATTGTAATCCTACTTATTCTCGGACCTGATGTAATTCCAAGTTTGCATATGCAATTTTGTTGGGATATAAACACTAAACTTTGTGAGAGATTAATGATCGCGTTGATTCGTGAGTAGAATCATTCATTAATAAATTTCGTTCTCTTTTTTTTTATTCTATTGATAATTACTTAAAATTTTAAACTTTAAATCGCGATTTCAAGTAATTGGTTCTTAAATGACGTTAGCTGTTAATAGGACCTTAAAGAAAATGAAACAAACTCGACTTTTCTCTTATTATTCTATATACGTTATCTACGAAATAAAGTACACATGGAAACAGATTTATTGTTATTGCAGTAGTGCGTAAACGTGGCAAAGCACATTTAGACACGTAGAATAGAGAAAGGTGTAAGAATGAGCACCTTCACACTGATTACACAAAAAAACACACAATAATATCGATATATATATAGATTGTAATATCATATCATAAAATAGAAAACATGAACGTACAGAAATAAACATACCATCTTCACAACATACAGCAAGACACACGAAGCCGTTCTTATTTTGATTGACACGCAAAAGGACGGACGTTTAAACAAACACATTTTAATATAGACCCAGTGTTCTTTCTTGTGGATATTCTGTGAATTAAAATTGATGGTGTTTTCCGGAAGAACGATGCTCCTTCGTCATTGTTGATTATCCCTCGCACATCCTGCAGACGTAGGTGTCACGACGTTCGTCCCCCAGTTCCACAGTAGCGTTCAGCTGACAGTCGATCAAAGTCTCATGTGCCGGGTTTACGTTAGTTTTCATCCGATACGAGTTCGTCATCGTTCTTTTATAAGTGCAAACAAACTTTAGAGCAAATCGAAATCTGGATCCGCTCAAACAATACAGGTAGAAGTTTGCACACCTGTTGATGTATAGGAGGTAGAACGATGCCGAATAGATTAAAATATCCACAGATTTAGCTTCGTCATCCTCTATTACCACATTAGACGTCACGCTTGTGTAAATCGAAAAAGGCAAAGTGCATATCACGATGGTTATAGAATCTGCCAATAGCATCATCAGAATCTGTCGTCTGCGGGACCTCGGATTTGTTGAAACCTGCGTCCTTGTTTCCACTTTTTTACTTCCGGTTCTGTAGTATACATTTGCCGCCTTTTGTACGATATATGACAACTTCACGTGTCGGAGAATGATGATGTTACTGATGATTATCACTGTAAACATTATGAAGAGAAAACAATGATGAATCCACGGCCAGATGAGACGCCAAAACATTACCATGTTTTTATTATTTGAAGAAATTTCACAGAGCTTGTATCTTTGTTTCTGTGACATTAGACCAGAAGTGAAAAGGAAATGAGCGTTTTTAATCATAGCCAATACAAGTAGTAACAATGACATATGTTTTGCACGAGAAACACTACACCATTTCTGAGCCTTCAGAGGAAATGTTATGGCGAGACTTCTTTCAAGTGTCATGGCAGCGGTCAATAAAATCCCAAGGTCACTACTTGTCCATCCGAAGAAGTTGAATGCTTTACACATAAAATGCGCGTTAATTCCTCTGTAAATGATCCACGGGAAGTTTGCATTAATCCAATGCACCGTCAACAAGAACAACAGACTGAAATTGTCAATAAATGCGTTGATTGCCATGTAAAATGATGTCGACAAAAACCGGAAGTACATACTGCGCATGACTTTGATGACAATACAGTTACAAATAGTGCCCATAACAACTAAAATTGGCGGGAAATAGAGATTAATTGCAGCCGAAATTTGATCTAATTCTCTGGAAAGGTTTGTTTCGTTATCACCTGCAGTGACGTTTAATTTAAGGACAGGTATGGTTTGAGTGCATAAACGTTTGTAATCAAAGCCGATCAATGTAGAATTGATTTCGGCCAATGCCTCGAATCGAACCATTGTTGTATACTTGTCTAACATTTGCTGATGTAACGATTTGTTAAAGATGGTAAATATCCAATCGTGTAAGAAATACTCCTGTTAAGCAGGGTATTGGTTTCATATCCGCTGCTCCTTTATGGAAATAGGATCGTCAAGCATAGCACATCCCATCAGCGATGCTTCGGCAGCGACAACTGGTGATTTACTGAAAATGCAAAACAAAATAAACGAATTATCAAAATCTGTGTAACATTAACACTATAAACACACTTCCTGTGAAATGATCTTTTTACGTATTGCCAAAACATCCTTGTTATTAAAATATCGTTATTTCACGGGACGTGCATTCATGGAACATATGTGCAAAATATATAATCGTCCGTTTAAGAGAGTTCTTAAACCTTTGTCATGGTAACCCTTTTTGCTGTAGAACATATCAATTTGGAATGCTCACTTATATTGATGGTATATCCGGGTCAGCTGTCAGATAATACCACCACAAAGACTTGCATCAATATTAAAACTCGTAATATATAGGACCAAAAGTTCTTTTAATAGTACTTAGGCCTAGCTATGTTACAAAATATCACAAAAACTATGTTAACATATTTTACCGATTCCAACTTTTGAAACATCCCTGATACTGACGAACATGTGTTATATCTACTATGTACCGATCAATAGTGAAACAGACCGTTATCCGAACTCACTCTAAAGAAACCCACAGGGATACGTTTTCGCTTGAAAATCAATGAACATAATGTTTTATTACCTTGAAACGGCGATATTCACAATTTGGACTCTTTCTTAATCCTGTCGTTGTAAACATTGTTCAGAAAAAAGCATTTTCTAATACACTAATCGAAATTTAGAAATAAATCCGGATTTGCCCCGCATTTCTACTGGGCAATTGACTATTTAAAAAAACTTTCTTCAAACCGAGAAATTAAAGTCCGAATATCTTTATATCAAATAACAATCCAGTCATTTTTGCGCCTTGAAAAGAATTCCGTGTTTCAGAAAGCTCATATGTAATAAACCGATGTGTCCGTGTTTTGTATGTGTTGGTAATAGGCATCCAAGACACGCTGTGATCTAGGTGCCACACAACACATTGGCTACTCCCTTTTCCCATGCGCATGTTGTAATTGTCAACGTACGCACCTATAAGACTAAGCGTTACAGATGTTGCCATTGCTGATACTGTCACGTCTCACAACTACAGTAGAATTTTTCATGTATCGATCTTAGAGCGCTGGTGTTCAGTATGATAAGTCTGGCTATGATTGATAGGAGTGTTTCCCTTAGCGGTAGTCATCGGTGTTATATGATACCCCCAACTGCCGCCTCCGTGATCACAAATCTCATTTAACTTAGGTATCGTTTTCAAATAACTGTTGTCTGCTGTTTGGATCTGTAAATAGTATTTAAAAAGTCGCTGGCGAGAAATCTACTACAGGGATCTTGCAGTATATTTAGAAATCGGGTTGAGTTGGGCGCCTGTAAAATTAGTGGCTTCAGGCATATTGACATCGCGAAACATTGATCTACAACCCCCGCTGAGAATTTGTTTCTTTAATGTTTTATATTGTTTTACGGCCAGCAGACAATTTGATTCATTCAGGGCCATACAAACACTATACATAGGCGTTCACAAAAAGGTTGAAATGCTCAAAAAATGCAAAAATCACCAATACCAAACGAATTGGCGACATATTATATCAATTTGTAGTACAGGTACATTTATTGTAAATGACGGGAAAACTTATATCATACTTTCATAGTCGGTACATTATAGAAATTCTGTTACACATTTGTGTTTAATCGACACATTCAATCATAAAATGTTCGACTGTAAATGGTTGAAAACAAATATAATACCAATGTTGACCTTCTTCTCGAACAATGTAAGCGTACGTAAACTTGGTATGGCCTATACTTAGACGTGAGGGGAAAACTTTGTTCTATCTGCGGTCTGCTTTACTTGTTGGTTGCACATGTTTAATTTGACCGGTCGGAATGCTGTTCTGGGTGCCTTCGGCATGTTATTTCAGTGAGATAGCACTATAAAGTCGGCATCAGATCCGCGCTAATATAAGGAGGCAAGTATAACAACATACCCTTGCACGCTTACACAACACACATGGAGGCATGTCTTTAAATGACCTTAGCTGTTAATAGGACGTTGAACAAAATAAAATCAAACCAAACCAAACATGTACCCAGGTTAGATTGAATTGCAAATACCTCTTCACACCATTTATATTGTAAATTTGAATTAACAGAATTTGCCATTAAATGACTAAAATCAGAGCTACATAGTTTAATAGATGAATTGGCTTGGTTATATTTTGTTTCACATCCAATTTACAGCAGCATATTGTTTTCTTGATTTCATCAAACTCAGATTAACTACATTTGTTTCAGCCGAGAAGATAGAGGCATTGGTAAGTAAACACAAGAAAGAAGTTTCATATATAATAGCACTTGTTGGTGCTACATTCTCCGCGACCTCAAAAGTCTACAAAGAGTAAGAGCTCATCTAATAAATCGGGGGACAACGTTAAAATGAAGCCGATTGATCCCTTAAATAATTCCAGGTTTACTGCCGATTTTTTGGTAACGTGACTAAATATTGAAAAACTACCCCATTGAAGGCCAAACATGGATAAACTCTCCTCACTAAACATTGATGTACTGTCCTTACTGATGACGCATGACCTAACGCCCTTACTGCCCATGTAAGAGTATTAGGACAGCGATATACTGCTCCCACTGATCACCCTGAAGAGACAACATATTTATGTATTGTTCCAATGATAGGACCAATCATTTTGAACTCTACTCATCGGACGGACTAAATACTGGTATTTTTACCCCACTGAAACAAACTAGAACTGTAAACCAAAGGCTTACTAGTAGACCTTTCTCATTTTGAGGTAGACCGAGCACGGAGCGTGGAGACAGACACCTAGAATAGCAGATTTAGGGAACATCTCAAAACCATTTGTTATTCAGAACGTGCACACCTCGACAAACCCTTTATGAAGCTTTTTTGATGTTATCACAGCGTATGTATCACCCATATAAAATATTAGTCTGTTTCTATTGCATGAAAATATTACCAACGCCGTTAATTTAAACCGAAATTAGGATAGGACATACAATTTTATAGATTTCTAAGTCCGTTTTGGTTCGACAGGTAACACAGAACCATATATGAAGGCCTGGTTTTCTATACCTCCGTTACTTATATTAGGTTTAAACTAAATCTACATTTTGAACACGTAGTGAAGTGACATGGAGAAGGTGACCGGGTTGGGGGTGGGGGTGGTGGGGTGGTGGAGGGGGTTATTAGAAACCTCTAAGCCATGGGTAATTTCATGATTTAGTAGCATGATAAAGATTGATAATTTCTTATTCATATTTTTGTTTTTATCTATCTATCTATCTATCTATATGTTATACTCCACAGAGACCAAAACAGCATTATTACGTATTACACTAATAAAGTAAAGAAGTAACTCGTCACTTTACCGTTGTATTTATTTTATTGTCTAGGATTCATTATTTCTAATCAGCGTCGTCTGATGATGCGTACCGAATACTTTTAGGAGTTTTGGATTTTTTTTAGTTAACAGTTTTTTGGTACTGGCGTTGGTTTTCTAGCATAATTGGTGCCAAATTATCTTTCTTTTTTTCCTTTTTCGGTGGAGCTGTGCTGGTCTCCACCTCGTCCTCAGAAGGCAACGACATCGCAATTGTGATGTCTACCTTCTGCGGTTCACGGAAGTATCATGAAGAATTTTATGATAAAAGTGCTAAATTTGAACTTTGATTTAATAAAATCATTATATTCGTTATTTGGCGTTTTTTAACCTATAAACTTTCATTCAATCTATACCATCGTGTGACATAAATATAATTAATATCCTGGAACTATATGTGTAAATTGTTTCTCATGAACTTGTGTCAATTTAGATATATTCCATTTATGAAGCCTTTCCTTTAAAGTCGACATGTGTCATTGTTGTCAGATTAACTCATGCATTTACTTTGTCCATCTTATACCATATATCTTTTAAATGGCTCGCATATGTTAAAGATATTTTTTCTCAAACTGGCCTGAACTATGTGTGGTACTATCAATCTACACGTTCTTTTTCAAAAGACGAAATTAAGAAGCTTGTGAAAAGTAGACTGAAGGATCAATTTATACAGAAATGGTTTGATAATATTCTTAACTCCTCTAGAGGACAAACATATTCAATATTAAAGACAAAGTTTGAACAAGAAAAATATTTAATTAAACTTAATACAAATGATAGGAAAATAATGTGTAAATTCCGTTCTTGCAATATGCATTTACCCATAGAAAAAGGAAGATGGTTAGGTATTCCTCGTCAAGAAAGAACCTGTACATTATGTAATTTGTACATTGGAGATGAATTTCATTACTTATTTATATGTGAAAGTGTTTTAGTTAAATGTCTAAGAGAGAAATATATACCAAAATATTATTTCACTTATCCAAGTCAATTAAAAATGCAAGGATTGTTTAATATATTTAATGTAAAAATTTACACAAAACTTTGTAAATTCATAGAAAAGCTTGAAAAAATATTAACTTAATTTCTGTACCATTTGTGTACTTCTATATGTATCTATGCTATGTACAATGTTGTAATTGTGTACATCACACGCCATGTATCATACTTACTATATGTATGTGACCTCTTGTTACACACGTAAGTGTGTCGGAGTGAATAAATAAAACTTAAACTTCAACTTGATTATATTACGTAACAGGATTAACTGGTCATACCAATTCAGACACTGCATTCAGTCTCAGACAAAGGACAGCTAAATTAGCTTACCTGGTCGGGTACGGCCGAAGTCTGAAAGGCCGATTGCTATGAATGACAGATGTCACTCAAACTAAATACTTAATTGCTTTTGTGTAAATGTACTTAGGACACGATTACGATTTGTAACTTCAGTTAGGAACTAGGCATCGGACTGTACGGGTGTGTTTTTGGATACTCCAG